TTGAATGTGATTAAGCTTTGTTCATAAGTATATTCTAGAATATGCCATGCCAATGTATCAATGCACTTAAGTACAACAACCATTCCCATACCGTGGGAAATCATTCTTCACAATAACTCCGCCTCCACCTCATCCCTGGGATAGCTGGGATTTTGGATATGGGGGGAGGGAACCGAGTGGCTGTGTTGCATTCGCGTTTATGTTGTTGGCGTGCTTGTAATTGCTGAATAAAGGTTTAATTACCCAAGTTTGAGGTTTAATCATCCAAGTTGTGTGAAAACAATTCAAGAAGAATTTCAAGAACTCCTAGTTATTATCGGGACAAGAAAGAATCTGCGACACCGTAGAAAGAAGGGCGTATAAACCAATCTGTGGCAATTTTATTTTTTTCTTTTACTTTCCAAATGTTTGGACTTTTCGTCAATAAAATTGGGAAGTTGTCTGCAAATGACTTCAAATTTTAGTTTAAAATCTGTTCACAATTCGCCCAACTCAACAAAGTTTCTTCTTGTCTCAATAATTCCCATTAACATATAGTACTCGACAGTGGAAGAGAAGTGGGACTTCAAAATAATTACAGCTAGTAAGGAAGCAACCAATGATGATCGTGGTCTAAAGACAATTAAATAAACAACTTTTAAAGGTTTCCCCAGCAATAAGAAATCACAACTCTCATTATACGCTTCGAACTAAACAGATTGAATATAAAAAGTATTAAATTAAATCTTGAGATTGATAAAGTCATTAGTTTAAGTTGGAAAAGCAATCTATTTTTAAAGATATATCGTTTAGTACTTTTAGTAAAATAGTCAAGTTGCTCATGTTTTATCAGATAACCATCAATACCATACAAAAACGATGAATGGATTCACCCATGACTTTATTATCAGTCTCAGGAGCCAACTGGACCATCGCTTTTTACAAGAGATTATAATTATAAATATACTCGAAATGTTTAATTCTGCTCAGTCTGTATTGTTTACCATTTTCTTCAATTTGAAAGAACTTGAAGGAACTTACAAAGCTTTCCCAAAAAAAAACTTCGAATCGTTGAATTAGAAAATTGGATAATTTAAAGGAAGGATGATAAGTAATAAACGCTTTCGAAAAGAACCTATTGGGGAAAATTTTTAAAAACTCTGGACATATTTATAAACGAAAGTAATTACTTCTGTTTATTACTTCAACTACTGTTATTGCTTATGGTGATGATTATGATAATAATAATGATTAGTTAATGTGAAGCCATAAATGTCGCTGACATTCCAATTAATATAAGTGCTGCTACTGATGCAAGTGTTACTCTGCTAATTAGCTTACTTGTCATAAATTATATTTCTTCATCTGTTTAAGGGGAGTTATCTACTCTGGGCTTCAACAAGGTCTTGCTAATGCAAACATAACTTCAAAATGGAAAAGTGTAAGACACAGAGAAATGCCAGCAAAAATCTATCTTAGAATTACTTTGTCGATTTTTGGCTTTGTTGAAGCATCCTCTTTCTTGAAACGGTTATCCACAAACAACAAAAACCAATTTTGAAAATAAGATTAACTTTCATTCAAAATCCACTTCCCATGATCTTTCACTGGTAATCGTTCAGGAAATGTTCCCAAAAGAAATTCAATTGTAGATTATAAAATCTCATAGTAAAGCATATATCAATGAATGGTTTAGCAAAAGTGATATACAATGCAAATATAAATATTCAAAAAGTAACAGTGATGTTTCATTTTTTAATCATCGTATGTCTACTACTCAATTAAGGAATGGAATAAATTAATAAGCCAAATTACGTTGTCGAGTTCAATACTGAGTAAGTTTATTAAGAGAGCGTTGTTGGTAGGGCTGCACAAACTTTATTAAATAAGCCAAGGAAAAGAGGATCTGAAATATGTGAAATCGAATTATGATTAAAATGATGCAATTTAATGCATTTAGTGATGCCAGTGAGTGGGACTTAATTAGCCTGCGAAATCGTTGAATTCCGAGGTCTTACCCACGTTGTTTAGGGATGACAATGTTATGTGTGACATTTCGCTCTCCTCATTCCTTTTATTAATATACCAATGAAAATAGTTATGTAAATACTATGGAGTCTGCATAGTTATAGCTATTTGGTACTTACATTGTATTGGTAGAATCACATACCTTACCAACTTTGAAAACTACAAGAATTCAAACTACACAGAATGGATCCATCGCAATGTTTTCTTTCATCAGAGCCCTTGGTTTAGATATATTTTAGATGTTTCTCTGATGATAGCATTTACTGCCACGCTTAAATATTTAGGAAATTTTCTGCGAAAATATAATAATTTCTTCAATTGCCCGTAACAAATACGTGGTAGTACATCGAAGAACGCAACGTAAAACTTGGAATACAATCTTTTGAAGTAATTTGTGAAGAATTTCAGTTTATTGTGATATCTAGGAATTATCTGACCGTTACTTTCTAGCATGTTGTTTTGGGAAGTAATTTTCATTTCCTGTTGATTCCCTTTGTTGAAATTTGATGCCAATGATAAAATTTTTGCGGCTTATAATTTCAGTGTTGGTTTGTTCACAAGCTGTTCTAAAACGCCGATATCTCTCAAAAGTCAAGGATTTTAAAAGACTTCATCACCGCAAAAGTTTCTGATTTGAAAGACCCTGGTCCTTACACGGAATTAATCCGAATCTCGGATACAGTATTGGGTGAGATGAGAAAGTTCGCAGTGAACCGAATAATTGTCACGTAACACTACCGTCATTACCCAACGATACACAACACATTGTAGCAAACCATTTCGAAACTGTGGTTTCCTCTGGGGACTGCTAAAATCCACTGGGTCTCGTTGGACAGCAATAGCGAGGTGTGGGTGTTCACGTTGGGATGACAACTGTAATCATGTATGGTGTCGGGGAAGCTAACATGTTGAATTCGTTTTTTAGCGATATAGATTTATTCGGATGGAATATTGTTCTTCACAGTATTACTAGTTAACAACAAAAAGGGTGTAAAATATATATGTATATATTACACGATAAATTTGTAAGCAGTGATAATTATACAAAAGCAGACAATATGATCGACTAACAAACTCCTCATCGTTGCCTTCCAGTTGTTGGGCATATTTTTATGTGATAATCCAATTACGTGCTATCGACAGCTGCCACCATCTGCACGTAAACTGCATGATTATGCACTTAATAGGTTAAATATAGTAGGTCCTTCTCATCCAGAACAATTCAAGGAAATATTATTATCCTTCCCAGCGCTCAAATCAAAGTACGTTTTTTCAAAACCTCTTTCATGTTTTCAGACCACGTTCCTTTATGCTCAGTCGAGTCTTTTTGTTGAATCCCGAAATTTCATCGAAATTTGCATCTTAAATTGTTTCTTCAGTTTCTAGGAAATTGACATTTCAATTCTCTCCTGTCTCCATTTTTCAGCGATATAGATTTATTTGGAATGTAATATTGTTTTGCTTAATATTACTATTTAATAACAAAAAAGATAGTATTCATGTATATATTACGCGG